CCAGTCTATCTCGGCTTCTGCTTCCTGTTCCTGTTTGAAGTTGTGAGTGCTCAGCTTTCTGCTCTGACTGCCTCCTGCCATGTTTCCCCACTATGATAGACTCATATCCCTCTGGAACTGTAAGCCCAACAAACTCTTCCTTCTATAAGTTCCCTTGGTCATGGTGGTTTATCACAGCAACAGAAAACGTAACTAATACACACCTATCTAAAGACTGAAAGCTAGCATCCACTTCTGAGAGAGAACATGTAACATTTGTCTTTCTGGGTCTGGGTTACGTCACCTAGGATTGTTTCCAGGTCCATCCACTTACTTCTGAATTTCAGAATTTTATTCTTCTTAACTTGATTAATATTCCACTGTGTAAATATACTATACTTTCATTATTGATGCATCAGTTGATGGACACTAGATTGTTTGCATTTACTGGTTATTGTGAACAGGGCAGCAATGAACATGGATGAACAGGTATCTCTGTAATGGGATACAGAGTCCTTTGGTTATATGCCCAAGAGTAGTGTGGCTGGATCAGGCGGGAGATCTATTTTTAGCTTTTTGAGGAACCTCCACATTGATTTCCATAGTGGCCGTACCAGTTTGCATTCCCATCCTTGCCAGCACTGTGCATTTATTGTTTGGATTTTAGCCTTCCGACAGGGGTAAGACCCTATTGCAGAGGACACTACATATCAGAGTTGCAGAAAAAAATAAGGAGAAATTAAGATGGTACTGATTTTGAAGCTACATTTCTGCTGATTAGCTTTCATAGTACTAGAAGGTGCTATGCATGTTACTGACAGAAAAGGGTAGTCATCACCTTTGTCCAGCCTGTGAACCCTATATGCTGTTGTACCATATGCATAATGGTACAATAGTCTCATGAACATTCTGGGAGTAATCAACCCATCAAATTAGATTTAGGACTTGCTTCACAACATGGAGTCCGTACCTGACTCTGTGTTATCAGGGCAAGAACCTGCGCCTAGATAAACCACAGGCCATAGGGGAGAACCTACATTTTGTTCTGCTAAACAGATATAATAGTAAACTGACTTACAATGTCTTATTATTATATCCCTTAACTCTCATCAAAGGTTCTTGTAGCAGATGGTAATTAATACAAATAGTCCACTTGTAGAATACAAGAAACCATGAAGCACTCAGACATAAATGGGACACTTGCATCATACCCTCTCTTCTGAAGGCTCGGGGATCATTGTGGAAGAAGGGGTGGAAAGACTGTAAGAGCTAGAGGCAGTACACGAATACAAGGAAACTGTTGTCTGGACACCACAGGGTAGTTGCACATATGAATCCACAGCACTTAATGACAAGATTTGTGCGAACCCAAGCCAGACAGCATGGATGGGGAAGGTGGGCAGGAAGCTCCAGCCTTACCAAGGTATTGGCAACTGATGGATGCTAGAGAGGGAGAGTCAGTTTTCCTTATTGGTGTGACATCTGGTAGGTTGACCAGACTCCAAGGCATTTATCCACTCCCACGAGCACTTGAGAAGCATGAATTGGCATGTATGAGCCTTTAAAAAACAAAAATTACAATCTTTCTGCTCCCTCTTCTGCAATGTTCCCTGAGCTCTGGGTGGATGAAGTTTAATATAGGAGTTCTGTCCAAGAATCAGCATTCTGCAGACTCTTACTGAGGTATAAAGATGATTAAGATTGATTGAGCTGTTCTGTCTGAAATACACAAAAATCCAATAAAAAATAAATTAAAAAAGACAAGAATTAAATAAATAAAAAGAGAAAAGTATAGATAATACTGGAGGATGTGAAATTGGGTGGAGGATATGAAATTGTGTAGTAGTGAGGGGTTGGAGAGAGGAATAGGGGTTTGAATGTAATCAAAATACATCGTATGAAATTCTGGAATCAATAAAAATTATATAAACAAAAAGAAGCTGACAATCTTAAAAGAAAATGATGTAATTAAAATTATAAGATATAATGGGGATATGTGGGCATATTTCACATTCATATAAAATCATACTGCTATGGATTGAATGTGCTCCAAATTTTATGTATTGGTAACTAATATCAAAATTATGTTAGCCAGACATGATGGTAAACACCTGTAATTTCCACACTTGAGCAGCTGAAGTATGAGAATCATATCAAATTTAACACTAGTTTGGGCTACATAATGAAACCTTGTCTAAAAAAAAAAAAAACCAAATAAAACCCAAAATGAAATAAACCCAACCCCTTCAACCCTCTCTAACCCCTAAAAATCCAGCAAAAGCCCAACAACATCATCGTCATCAACAAACAACAACACAAAACAAGAAAAAGGAAAAGAAAGAAGATAAAGAAAAATACATACTAATAACAAGAGGTGGCATCTTTGGGCAGTAATTAGGATTAAATGAGATCATCAGGATGGGGTCGTCATGATGCCATTAGGTCTTTATAAGAAGAATTGCAGAGACTGGAGGTAGCAAGATTCTTTTTTGACCTGTGATGCCCACACTACCATAGGATTCTACAGAGAGTACCATCAACCTGAAAACCCTTACCAGACATGATTTCTCATCCTTGGACCTCTAGAATCATGAGTCAAAATAAACTTTGTAACTTATCTACTCTATGGTATGGTGTTAGCAACAGAAAATGGACTGAGATGCAGAAATTAGAATATCACACTTTTTTGCTTCTTCCTTTCATAGGACATTAAGAATTTTTAAACATCTTTTATTATTTTTATTTATTTTATGTGCATGAGTGTGTTGCCTGAATGTATGTAAGTTCACCTGTGTCATACAATGCCTATGGAGATCAGAAGGAAGAGGGTGTCGGATTCCCTGGAACTAGAATTAGGATGGTTTGCTACCATGTAGGTGCTGGGAACCACAACTGGGTCCTCTTCAGGAGCTGCCAGTGCTCTTAACCACTGAGCCATCTTCCAGCCCCAAGAATTATTTTTTAGAAGCTAGTTTTAACATAAGAACCCTAACTTGCCTCCAGGTGGAAGTTACTCAAAAGACATAGATTTCAGATTAGGAATTTGCTCTCAACAGCTATGCTTGCAAGAAAGTTTTAGTATTCTGAAGCTGAGGTCCCTCACGTATCATACAGGCATGGTAACTCTTCACTGGGTTGTGAAAGCCAGGTAGCTGTGGCCCAGAGATTCTGTATGCCTCTCTGGCCGCTTAGCACCAGGCTGGTTCTCAGCAAATGCCTCCTTATATCTGAATTTTTTCCTAAGTTATTTCATATTTTTGATGGAAAATATATTCTTAGCTCTTATAAGCGAACTTATTTGTAGCATCATGCACATAACTATGGCATTTTATGGAGTCTACTGCCTGTCTGTTTCCCTGCCTACAATGTTCTTTCACCTAAATGCGTTTTAACTTTCTCATCCCTAAATAGCTCGAGTGACATCTCCATGAAACCTGTTCAGTATGTCCCACCTCAGCACATATATGTATAAGTTTGTATATTTGTGTTCTGTTTTCACATTTCTATTTGAATGTGCCTTCTTCTCCAAGTCCCTGCATTTTCATTTTGTAGTTTGAATTTAAGGAGGTACAGGAAAGTGCTATGGGTCTGGTGTGTAGAGAAGTCTACTTTTTATGGTTGCCTTTGAAAGCAGAAACCCTGTTTTGATCTTGCACCACTGAGCTCAGCACATTTCAGTGACCAAAGAGTATTATCTAACAATGGAGAATTGTATCTTTTGAAGAAGTATGGGCCTCTTTGATCTAAGGACTGCAATCTGGTCATTTGGGAGAATGGCTTCCTATAGGGCCTGGGGGATTTTCAGAAGAGTTTGGAATAAAAGTGAGATCAGAAATGTACTTGAAGAAAACTACAGAAGATAAGGAGAGGATTCAAAATAGACTTTGAGCTCATCTCCCTGAATGAATGGAACAGAAGGTTTGGGAAATACTGCCACTACGAAGTTGATTCATGGAGTGTTACAGATGAAATGTTCATTTGGCCAAATGACTGGACATACAGGCTTGTCTGCTAACATTATTTTTTGTTAAAATGGAGTTAGGCTTAAGTTTAGGGTGGATATTCTTAATATTTCTCTTGAAATTATATCATAACTAGAAAAGTCGTTTCCATTTTGTTGAATTTTCCCCTTCTAATTTTTCTTACCCTGAAATAGAATTGTTCCACTGAATTTCTACAACTCATTTTGTTTTAAAATAACAGTTTGCTTTAATTAAATTAAAGGTACCAAATCTTTATTAACCGACAAGGGAACGTAGACTAAAAAGGAAAAACAAAACAGTATCCTAAAATTTCTTTACATGAATCCATGTCAACATTTTGATTTATGGTGGACTAAGCAGAATTGGATCTGATGGTGATGAGCAGAGTTGGCTGTGAGAGACACTCTGAGCTGATGGTGAACTGTGGTATAGGCAGGCCTCAGAGCCTTGTGTAACTGTATGCATCATGTAGACAGCTTGCTTCAGGACTTACTAGTTTTATTTGTTAGATTATGAGCATCGCTCCATTTGATTAAATAGTCTTCCAAAGCAAGTTACACATCCCAGAATTAAGTATTTTGTTGTTTTTTCTCACGGTATTTAAAACCAATTCCCTTTGTTGAAGGTTTAGATTTCTATCTTTGAAAAGTAGAAAGCTATGTGTGGTTGGTGCTCATAAATCTATGTTACAGCCATGATTATGTTCTTTGAATAAATTTCTATAGAGCATTGTAGTGTCAAAGAATATAGGTGTTTAAACAAATTGATGCATTTGTCCTTCCTGTGTGTTTCACAGCAGTTCTCTATGACAGCATTTTTCTACTTGATTTTTTTTCAGGAAACATAAATATCCCTGCGTTGATTTAATTATTATACCCACAAACATGTACTTATGTATAATTATATGCCCATGTTATCTCCGTACTATAATATAGGATATATGTCATATTATGAACCCATTAGCCTGTCATATCAAATGAGTTGGCAAACATATTTCTCATGTGTCCACTTCTAAATATAATTATCTCCACTTCCTAGGTGCCTGCATGACCATCACCCACAGCCAGTGTCAGATTCTGCCCTACCACACCACGCTAACACCTCTCTTCTCATTTGTCAAAAACATGGACATGGAGAAGTTCCTCAAGTTCTTCACGTACCTCCATCGCCTCAGTTGCTATCAGCATATCATGCTCTTTGGCTGTAGCCTCGCCTTCCCTGAGTGCATCGTTGATGGTGATGACAGGTATTCTAGAACCAAATCATTCACTGATGATAAGAGCCTAGTTAGATTTCAGGGACAAATGTCCAAGAGGAACAAAATCATTCTAAGTTAACCTTCCATGTTTTTTGGTTGTTATTAGAGGGGAAGAGGACCCATATGTGTCATAGCTAATTGCAATTCTTTGAAACCAAAGTATTCAGAAAACAGATTAATTTTATTTATGGGAAGGAATTACCCATATGTTAAGTTGATGCTGTTTCAAATGAGGGTCGGGCAGAAGAAAGAAGACATACTCAAAGAGCTGGTTTAAATGTTCACTGATGAGACTATGGAGGTATGGGCAGGACAAAGGAAACAAATGAGCAATGGGAAGAAGGCAGGTCTCATGATGAGAGGATGTAGCTCCACTACCAAAGGCTTGAATCAAGGAAAAATCTGGAGGCACTGGGAAACTTGTAGCTCTGGGTAAGGGGTCTCAAAAACCCAGGAGGCAGAGAAGGAGGCTTGACCTCCCTCTCTTCCCATCGAGCTATCTGCCAGCATATTTATGCACCGCCAGGAACAAAGGTATTGAGTGCAATGGATGAGACCCAGAATCTCAGTAAACATTATCAGCTGAGAAGTCCCAAATCTTATTTACATTAAGTGTGACTGGCATTCTGAGTCGTTCTTCCCATCAACACTGAGGCCTGGTGCAGGGAATGAAGGGTGAAGAATAGATGTGGAGGGGCAAACAGAGACAATTCAGCATAGTTTTAATAGGATAGAAATAATTTTCAATAAAAATCGATCAATCAAAACAATGTCATTGGATAGTTGAAGCACTAAGTAAGGTAGTTAGAAAAATCTCAAAGCATTTCCTGAGTGCATAGTCACTTATGACATCAATTGTTTTCTGGATTGAAATTTTATAAAGTTTTCAGAATAGTAATGTAAGAACAAATCTCATTTTCAAGTGCTATTAGGTTCTATGTTATTTGGTGCTAACTTAACTAGCATGTAAAATACCATGGGAATTAGCCAAAGACATTGCTATTTCAATGGTAAGAAGCTGCATTGCTGTTGCCTTCAGGTAGAGTAGAAGCTGCAGAGTCCAAGCTGCTGAAGCACATAGAGGACTATTAGCACATGCGGAATCCAGGGAAACTGGAACCAGCAAGGAATCAGGTAGAGAGGGTGCCATCACAGTATACAAAAAGAGATGATGGATTTGCCCTTCCTTCTGAGTTAAAATATGGGCTGCTTGTGTGGGCTGGAGGTGTGGGTCAGTGGTAGAGTGCTTGTGTAAAGCCCTGAGCTACAAAAACTTAAAGATAAAACTGTGAGATGGTCATTGAGAGATCCTTTCTCTTCCTAGACTGTGGTAACATGATTAGGTGGTTGTATTGGTTTTCTAGGGATGCTGTAACAGATTGCCACCTGTGGAGTGGTTTAAGCAGCAGAAATGTATTTTTCATGGTTCTGGAGTGCAGACGTCTAGAAGCCCAGGACTCTGAGGGGCTGATTCTTTCCTAGGACTCAGTGGGGAGAACTCATAGTTTTCTTTACCAGTTTCCCATTATTCTTGTTCCTGTCTTTTGCTCACATCTCTCAGCTTTTGCCTCTGCTGCTGCACAGTCTTTTCTGAGTGTCTGGGTCTCCTCCACTTCTGTCTCTCCTAAGGACCTTGTCACTGAATTTAGAGCCCATCAACACAATCTACATCATATCTTTACCTTAAGAGCTTTAATATCCACCAAGATCCTGTCTGCAAATAAGGTGAAATTCACAGGTTCTAGAAATCAGGATGTGGACATCTATCCTGTAAAATAGGCTAAGGGATCCACATGTCATGGCCTCATCATCTATAAAATAGAAATAATAGTTATGCTTACTATACAAAATTAGTATGATTAAGTGGCATATAGAGCTTGGAACACTGCCGGGCTCTTAGAAAGAGCTCAGTAAATGTTAGCAATAATTATAAAGTGATTTGTAAAGGGTGAGTAGGAGCACAAAATGTACTTCTATGTGTGTGCTAAAAATGTGGAGGATTGCGTAGATTAAAACGAAATTAGGAAAGTGCTAATTAGGACCTGTGCTTTCATTCCATTTCTGCTTAATTTCTAAAAATCTCACTTTTATCTCTGTAGGTTATCTTCTCTGTGGACTTGGGTGCACAGAAGACAATGGAAGGACGTGCTTATTTTCTGGGAGTTACTAAGTTC